AGCATTGGAGAGCGATATTGCGGCGGTAAATTGCCGCGATATCGCGGGAATTACCGCGCGATCAATCGCTCAATGTGAACGGGGTCTAAATTGGATTTGAGTGAGTTGGTTTACTTATACTTTATGTTATTATTTTTTTGTAATGGTACAGTTTCTGTAACACACAGCTCACCGCCAGTATTAATGCTACCACTGTGACGTGCACTTCAGCACTCACAGCTCACTAACCACTATCCATGTTGGGGGTAAGATCTGCAGCCCTGTGCACACAGCGAAGCTCACTCCACTCCCCTCCCCAACATCCATGCCACTGATGAGACTGGTGGCTAGGGATCAGGTTCAGATTTGCTGCAATGATAATTATGCCGCAGATTAAAATTTGCATGCACCAGTCAATTTATGTGCAATTTCTTCAGGTCAATCCTTTTTAAAACCATAACGCACTGCAAGGCCTTTGAACCATGGTCAGCAGGCTTAGAAAGCTCCATAATGTTGGTCATTGGATAAGCCTTACTCTCTTAGGGAGAGCTCAAAATCTGTATAGTAGTAAATCTATACAGTACGGATCTGTGCTATTCTATGTTGTAGATTGCAGTGGTGGGCTGCATTAACTTGTGTGTTCAAAGTCTTATTTACATAACCAGGAGTTAGGACTACTGTAGCTGTTTCAGCAACACGTGTCATTGTTTGCTAGCAGCTGGGCCCCCCTTAGCACCCTTTTTTGTGTCTATTTCTGTATTTTCAAATTGTGTATTTTTCTATTTTAATTTTCTTTGTGCTTGATATAAGGCCAGCTTTCCTGATGTTGCAATATCAATATGAAAGCCACTTCTTCCTAGGTTTAAATAAATAAATACATGTTTGTGTTGCTATGTTTTTTTTAAATATATATATATTTGAGGTGCTTGCTGTCTGGAGCAATGTCTTGATATTTGCACACACATGATAAAATCTGAATTTTTGCCTAGAAAACCCAAACAATTATATATTTTCTGAAAGCAGAGGCCCTGTAAATGCTATTTGCAATTTTTTATGCTGCATGGTATTTGTGGAAATGTTTATCAAACCAGTATTTTAGGATAAAATGCACTAAAATAAAAATTAGTTCACAGAAACAGAATATAATTCATACATAGTTACATAGTATTTGAGGTTGAATAAAGACATAAGTCCATCAAGTCCAACCTATTGTGTGTGTGTGTGTGTATAGGTCCCTGAGTGTTCTCATTCTTAAGAGTACCTGTACCCTTGTACATTACGGTCTCTCAGGAAATCGTCCAAAAGCTTCTGGAATTATTCCAGACTATTTGCGGAAATCACTGCTTGAGGCAGTGAGTTCCAGACCCTAACCGCCTGAACTGAGAAGAACCCCCTTCGCCCCTTGTGTTTGAATTTTTTTCCTACCAGTTTTAGGTGGTGGCCTCTAGTCTTTGTTACGGAATTAATCTTAAAGAGTTTGTTGCTAATGTTGCTATGACTATTGAACATTTTGTACATGAAAATCATGTCCCCCCTTAATCTCCTTACTTCCAATGTAAACATATTTAAATGAAGTAGCCTTGTCTCATAGTTCTGGTCCTCCATCCCCTTGATGAGTTTGGTCGCCCTCCGCTGGACTTTCTCCTGCTCAAGGACATCCGTTCTGTGTACCGGTGCCCAAAACTGCACCACATACTCCAGGTGAGGCCGAACCATTGATGGCAAAATTATAGACCTATCCCTGCAAAACATTCCCTTCTTGATGCAGGACAAGATTCTACTAGCTTTGCTTACAGCAACCTGGCACTGTAATCTCTTCTTCAGTTTATGGTCTACAATAACCCCCAAATCTTTCTCCATTTCCAACTTCCCTAGCGGCATACCCATAATTGTATAACCCATTTGCCTATTTTTAATTCCAAAGTGCATAACTTTGCAGTTATCGATATTAAACCTCATCTGCCACATAGTTGCCCACTCCCCTATTTTATTAAGGTCCTCCTGCAATGTTACACTATATTGGTCTGTTTCTATTACCCTCCCAATTTTGGTATCGTCAGCAAACACTGAGATATCGCTGTTTACTCCGTCCCCGATGTCGTTAATAAACAGGTTAAAAAGCATGGGTCACAGCACAGAACCCTGAGGCACACCGCTAATGACACTAGCCCAGTCTGAAAGGGCACCATTTATTGATACTCTCTGTACACGTTCCTTTAGCCAGTTCACTATCCATGTACACACCCTTCCATCTATGCCCATAGCTCTCAGCTTGTATAGTAAGCGTTTGTGTGGTACCGTATCAAAAGCCTTTGAGAAATCCAGATATACCACATCCACAGACCTCCCTCCATCCAAATCTCTAATTACCCCCTCGTAAAAAGTCAGTAGGTTAGACTGACAGGAACGGTCTTTCCTAAACCCATGCTGATTGTCATTAACTATGCCATTATCCTGAACAAATTCTACCAAGTAGTCCTTAATCATTTCCTCTAACAGTTTACAAACTCATACTCAATTATTTAGTAAAATATAAAAGATGGGGTCACATCGGGTAAATAAATACCAAACCTGTCAAGCCTTAAAATTGAGCGTGAAACCGCAAAAAACTACAATACCCAAAATTTCCCATAGGCAATGCTTTATAAGCTTTTACCGCTCATTAGTTTATAGTTAACAGTGACTGATGGATCTAGAATATTGCTCTCACTTCCAATTCACGGTGTAACAAGCTTTACATCCAAAAAATTGAATGTGTCCTAGGCTTGGCTTTAATCCATGCCTCATTTCAAATGGGGTGCTTTCAACGACTTTTGAAGGTAGTCTGTTCTGTAGGTATGTTGCAGTCATGACTGCTTCTTCCCAGTACTTCTTAGGTAGCTTGGCGTCTGACAGCATGCATCTGGCCATTTCTATAAGGGTGTGATTTTTCCACTCTGCTACACCATTTTGTTCAGGAGTTTATGGTGTGGTGGTCTGGTGTACTAAACCTTGTTACTTTAGAAATGATTCCACTTCTTTGCTGATGTACTCCCCTCCGTTGTCAGCGCGTATAACTCCTGGTTTCCGTTGGAATTTGCTGCTGGACATGGCTACAAACTCTTGAAGTTTTTCTGATTGTTCATTCTTGTGCTTCATCAGATAAGTTGTTGTGTACCTGGAATAACCATCAAAGAAAGTCAGTAGATATCTGTTCCCGCCTGATGTGGGATTTTTCATTGGTACATACATGCCGCTGTGTATGAGCTCCATGGGGTGGATGGTCTTTCTTTGAGTGGCTTGTGAAAGTGGGGTACGTGTGACGTTTGCTTCCATACAGCATTTGCATGTCATGAGCATTTGGCAGGGCAGTACAGTTATATCTCCTGATAAGCCTCTTTTTTTAACCTCCCTGGCGGTAATCCCGAGTCTGGCTCGGGGTGAATTTTCAATGTTAGGAGCGGTAAACCCCGAGCCAGACTCGGGACTGCAGAGAAAAGTGACACTCACCTTGTCCCTGCGAGCCCGCGGCGTCCTCTGCTGTACGCGGCCCGAAAATGAAACTAAAAGCCGGCATCTGACTTTTAGTTTTGTTTTCGGAGAATACTGAATTAAGTTTTACTTGTGTTGAAGAACATTATATCAGAATACAGCAATATGTAAGAAACATATATAGAGAAAAAACAGCTTCATGTGTATCATAGACAAGCATGCACATAGAAAACTAACATTGCACTGCAGCGCCATCTACAGCTCAAACATATAATTACACAAGTAATACAATCATATATATGCTGTTCCAAACATGGAGAACAAAAGTAGCCACCCTCCAGAAGGAAGGACAGTGTCAGCACCAATGCATGATTTGAGCATCTGCAGCTGAGTGATACACAAATAAGATACATTTTTGTTATTAGTTAAGGTACTTGAATGCATTTTTAAGATTTAACTCCTGAGTTTAGTGTCACTTTAAGTGTTAGTGTTTTTTAGTGTTACTGCATGGCATTGCAGTACTGTGCGTTCCGGTGTGAGTGATTGAACTGTGGGTGGGTGGCGCCATTCTAATGAATTGCAATGCAACGTACCTTTCGCACCTGAACATACGGTAGGTGCGATTGCATGGTACGGTGAGTTAATTGCAGGAGACTGTGTGATTGACACACTGTACTAGTGTGAACAGGCCCTCAAAAACACTGACAGACACATGCAACCACAGACACAATCTCACACACTCACAGACATTCCCATACACACATATCCACCCAGTCTCCCTACCCTATGAGAACTGGAGTGGATCCGCAGCCTGGGGTCCTGTGTAGGCTGCTGTGCTGTGACAGAGCTCCATCCATATGTGCACTGCTTGTACAGCTACCTTGCAAGCTCTTTAGAGCTGTCGGGAGCCAGAATGCGAGGTCTCTCTGGTCCAGGCACCTCTACAGGGCACGAGAGGAAGCTATAAACAATGCACGTATGGATGGAGCTCCCTGCGGCCATACCCCCAGCCCACCCCACCTCAAGCTGACGCAGCATATTTTGAATGGCTGCTCAGCATGTGAACTGAGAGTGCTGCGCTAGGGGGAGGCTGAGGAGCCTCTCACCTAGTGCAGTGGAAGGCACACGTCGACCCACTGAACACGGGGTTGCAAACCAACTTTCTGGACCCACCAGTTGAGAACCACTGTTCTATAGTGTATATATATATATATATATATATATATATATATATACACGCACAGTATATATACAGTATTTATTTGTGTTTGTGTTTTACTGTTATGTAGGAAAAGTATAAAAGTAGGTTTAATTGGGAAGGTAAACTGTCCAGCCTGTTAGTTTTAAAACTCAAATGTTGGTGATAGAGAGTTTAAAAGTGTTAGCGGCAGAACTGTTAAATATACAGATTTCATGTTTGGCATCTAGCCCAGTACCGTATTCTTTCAGAGAATTCCAAATCTGTTTATACAAAGTAGACAGCAGTTAATGAGTAATCTGTGTATCTGCCGGACGCACAGATCTGTATGTGGCTTTCCTTGAAACAGCAATCTCATTTCTGCACATAGAATCCCAACCCTCACATTCAGAACACGTACCAGCATTGTGTTTATGATAGCATGGAACACATTGACTTCTGCTGAAAAGCCACCTAAGGTAAGTGATCGCATATATTGCATTGCTGACAAATATTTTCCTCTTATACGTTTAAACATATGATTTGGCAAACTTGTTTAAAAGTTCTCCAAAGTAAACTGATTTTTTAAAAAGAATTGTTTATTATTTGTTTTGTTAAAACTGGTGATAAACAGGAATATCTTGTAGAAAATTATGATTGTGCTCTGGTGGGCCCCCACAGTGACAAATGCACCCAGCTCCTGTGATTTTCTGTTCAGTAAGTGTGCACCCAAAGGGGGGGGGATTAACAAAGGCTGGTCGTGAAAACAATACTCAAATTTCTATGTGCCTGCCTAATTAGCGTTTCCTGCAACACATTGATGAAAGTGGCACTTGTTAAAATTGTTAAATTGTCGCATGGTGGTGGTGGTGGTGGTGTGCTAGATTCCAATGTGACAACATTTTGATGCAAATCTAAGGTAGTCTTCTGCTGGGAACATCCTAAAAGTTCTCCTTCTCCCCTCCTTCCTGCATTGCTGCACCTCGCTGGCCGTCCAAACACATCCCCCTCATCTCCTCGCTGCAATGCTGATCATCGCTGGCACCTCTCCTCACTACACTATTTACACCCCTCTGGTAATGGTGTATATTTTAAAACTGTTTCTAAATTAGGACATTGGTGCAAGTACTACATTATTTTGGCGCACACGTTTGGACATTTATAGAAACTGTTCCGTACCAATTTTAATGTGATTTGTTACAGCTGGGGCAACAGCACCTAGAATTGGTCCTAAATCATTTGGCGCACAGAAAATGCACCAATATGTACACCACAAAAGTGATGTATTTCCTTTTGTTAATTCACCTTTTGTGTGCATTTTCCCCTTTTCCGATGGAATAGAGAATGTCTCAACAGAATGTCCAATTTATTTCAAGCGTGCTGGGGAAAGTCTTTAACAGAACACAAACTTTTTCATGCTGTTTTATTGTTGAGTCAGTTGCTACACAAATCTGTTTGTGCATTGCTATGTATTTAGTAGTTTAATAATATAACATCAATGTGTTGCCTTGAGAAAGGGACCTTGTGCGGCCCTGTAACGTTGGCTTATTGTCATAATTTGCAGTAAAAGCAACTTTATTTGCATGCCGAATTGCTGAGTGTAGTTAACTTAAGGCCCCATTCACACCTGACCGTTTTGTAGCGCGTCCTACGCTCGACGAACGCGCTACAAAACGGTCAAAAAAATAAATAGCATTGTAGTCAATGGTATCGTTCCCACCTGTCCGTATTTCCGCCCGTCCCGAACGCACTAAAAAACGTCCCACGCCTGAAAAGGTCCCGCGACTACTTTGGGCCGTTTTGTAGGGCGTTTTCCATTTGGATACAGCCAAGTAGCCTTTGGAATCGCGCGACGGTCGCGCGACTTTTTTACCGCGAATCGCGGTAAAAAAACCGCGTGACGGTCGCGCGACAGACGCGCATATTACAATACGCCTAGGTGTGAATGGGGCCTAAATACCATCTGTTGTGGTGATCACAATCACCATCTCCATTACCATTGGTCACAACACTTTATGGTGTGCAGCTGGGATCTACATTGATTTATAATATATCAAGTTACTGCCAAGCCTATCAGTGTCCAATGACATACATATTGCTAACAGCAACACAAATGTAAAAATTTAGTGATTTCTACATTGTTAGGCAGCATGGGTGCCTAGCATTCTTGCCTATCACTGCTAGGTTTTCCCATGTTTGTCTTAGCTTTCTCTTTGTACTCCAGTTTACTCTTACAATCCCTAAACATGCTGGTTGGGTAATTGGTTTCAAAAAGTCAACCAATATCTGTCTGCATGGCTGTATTAGGAACATTACTCTGGAAGTCTATTTACATGGACTGTTGTAAATGGTCTATATTCTCTGTCAAGTGCGGTGGAATTTGTTAAGAGTTATGGAAAAAAAATAAAAGTCTCTTTGAATCAAACTGTTACCTGTCTACAATAATATGACATAATCTTTTGGGCTTCATTTACAAAATGTTCGCCCCCCTGTTTATAGCTGGGTGGATGCCATTTGCAGAGCACTTGCACCCCAAGATGGCACTGGTGAGTATAGGAAATTCCAATACTCCTCATCACCATCTAGGGCAGGGGTGGGTAACTCCGGCCCTCTAGCTGTTGTGAAACTACGAGTCCCATGAGGCATTGCGGGACTGACAGCCACAAGCATGACTCCAAGAGGCACAGGCATGATGGGATTTTTAGTTAAAGTACAGCTGGAGGGCCAGAGTTGCCCACCCCTGATGTAGGGGCACTAGTGCAGTGTGAAAAGCATCCGCACGGCTATATGTTGGGTGGAAGTTTTATAAATGAAACACTATGTGACAAAATTGCATGAAATGATTGTCTTTATCAAATAATAGCTAGTATACTACTATATATTTTTCTAAAAAAGAGACATTATAATGGCTTTCGGTCAATTTTATTTTATCTTTTTATTTATAATATGTAATAAGTAATTAGTTTATCTACAAGTTAACAAACTGATCATTCATTTCATTACTTTACTATAAAATCTTTATCATACTAATAACATTTAGTATGCCTCCGGTATATTTACTTTTCTGAAAATAATGGGCTTTGATGATGAAATATCTAGCAAGAGAGGAGATCTGATCTGACTCAATAAGCTTTGTGTGTTTTGTTATTTAACAACGAATGGTAGGACACCAAGACCAGAAAACAGTAGGTCCCCCTGCACTCCTTACAGCGCTTCCGGTCCAAGTGAAAATAGTGGTGCTCGCAGTGACAATCACGGATGGCGCCGTGTACAACAGTCAATGAACAATAGAAATTACCAGCACTCTGTAAATGAAATTCAAAAAAAGTCCATTCATTTGGACTAAACATCACACATATCGCATAATCCCATTATGATTATGCGATATGTGTGACGTTTAGTCCAAATAAATGGACTTTTTTTTATTTCATTTACGGAGTGCTGGTGATTTCTATTGTTCATTGGTAGGACACCAAATCGCCTAGGCAGTTCTTACCGTTCACAGCATAGCAGAAAAATGACTCAGATGTAGTAAAGGACAGACTCCAGGGCACACATTTCTGGCTCGTAAATATGAAATATTCACATGCAATATTTTATATTTAGCTGACTGAAAATGTAAAAAAAATCTAAAATATGTTTTAGTCAGAATTTAGGGAATTTGGACAAAAAAGTGTAAATTCTATTAAAAATAACTTTCTAACTACAGTATGTTAATCTATCTTTGAAGCAACCTTAAAGCCCTATTCTAGGCACAAAGCAGTTTTTCCCACCCACCCACTAACTCATCCTACAAGGCTTCTTTTCCCCTTACCTTGCAAAGTCAGATATACTCACTTGAGTCCCTCCTCCAAATCCATTGCTGCTGCTGCTTCTGGATGTGGGGACCGCAAATCCAGCGATGTGATGACTTGAGTCCCTCCTCCAAATCCATTGCTGCTGCTGCTTCTGGGTGAGGAGACCGCAAATCCAGCATTGTGATGGCTTGAGTCCCTCCTCCAAATCTATTGCTGCTGCTTTTGGGAGGGGGACAGCGAATCCAGCGATGTGATAGCAATTGAGATCGTTGGTCCCCCTCCACTGACATCGGAAAGCTTCTGGATCCTAAGAAGACCCTGGCTGATAGACATCCAATAGGAAATGCCCATGTCATGCAGGTGCTGACGTGGACATCTGAAGAAGGACCCAAACAAGAAGTAAATAGAAGAGCAGAAGACTCGTGGCTGTGATGTCTAGTAGCCGCAGTATTTTAGAACTTTTATTACTTAATAAAGGACTTTTAGATAGGGATTTTTTTTGTCTGATCCTCTGATCCAGTGATCAGATATAGGGAAGTGGAAGGGACCATTGAGTGGATTTTTGAAATGTATGCTGGAAAGGGGATTCAGCATTTGTATACGTTTGCATAAATAACTTCTTGATGTGTCACAATACACACAAGTAGCATAACTTTTCAAAAAAGCTGCACCTTTATTAATTAAAAACATAGACCTTGAACTCCGGTCGATTGCTTGTGTTTTGGTATGACAGACGTATCTTTGAAGAATGATGTGATCAGTCTTCTGCAAGCAGGAGGAGGCATTTCCTCATTCTCTAATAATCTTCTGTTTTCAATCACTCAGACAGCACACTTGAACTTCCTGGCGGATGACCAGATAAAAGCCAGCAGAAGGGGGCTGATCAGTGTCCAGCTTGTGACTACTTACAACCAAGAACATAAAGGCAATTACACAGGCAGCAGGGTGGATATTGTACCACCCGTGGGCTGGCATATTAGTTTAATAAGTAGATGCTTGCATAGATGAAAGAACAAAGCTGACTCCAGCCTTCTTAGGTCAGGTTCACACCTAGGCGATTCAGATGCCGAGCTGTTTTTGCGCTATTGTAGCGCTTTTTCGATTGTGCGACCGTTCATGGAAAACCACGCGCTTATCGTGTGGTTTTCAATGCATAGAGATGTCTATGGGACCCAAATCGAGCGACAACCGCCAGAAAATCGATCCTGCACCTTTTTGCGCGACAGGCGATTTTGTCCGCGCCATAAACCGTAAAGGTGTGAACAGACTCCATTGACTTCAATGTGAATCTGTGTTTTGCACGATATCGCTCAACCCAATCCGCGCGAGAAATCACCTAGTTGTGCCTCAGGAGAAAGAAAGATGCAGGCATTTTCTGAGGGTCGGTGCACACCTATGCGACACCACACCACGCGGCAATTGTGCACGATTCCACATGGATTGCACCGCGGTCAGGCGTCGTATAGGTGTGCACCGATCGCGCTGTGGGTGCTATTATTTTCCAATGGCACTCCAGTCGCGCCGGGCGGATGGCTTGTGCCTTTTTTGTGCGATGCACGACGCACGGCTGTTTTGGCCGCGATCGTGTTCAGAAGCACAGGAGGAATCGCGGTGGGAAACCGCGCGATCCGCCTGGCGCAACTGGGGTGCCATTGGAAAATAATGGCACCCACAGCGTGATC